ACATGATTGCATTTTCCCCTAAAACGCAGTAATATAGTGACGGTGAATTTCCATCCTCAAATCTTGTACATACAGTCATGTTGGAGTCAGCAGCCACTTGAGGTGTTCCAGAAGTAAGAGAGAAGCTGCACCAACTTCACACACAAAAAAGTGATCTGACTGGTAATAAAATGAAGCTCTGAGGTGCCTTGAACCTGCCTCTGAGGTGCAGAACATATAAAATACCAAATCATGATGAGATGTCAGTTAAAGGCACCAAAACCAGAAAAAAAGCAAAAGAAATAAATAACAGCTATAAGAGTTATTGCAGCCTTTTTCCTGGAGGAAAAAAGAATAAAAAGACTCTTGACACTTTATCAGCAGCAGGAAAACACACTGAGGTGCTGCTCCCGATCTCCTCAGCCTTGAGTCTTGTTTTCCCAGCACTGCTGCTCACATTACCACAGATGGAATGACCTCAGGATGGAAATGTTTTTACTTGTATGTGCTCTCCTTTTTCCCCTTTAAGGTGGTCGAGATGTATGACTGTGTAGGTAAAAGGACCATAAAATTCTATTACCAAATCAAACCGCACTCTTAAGGAAATGTTTTTTGTCTGGGCATTTCTCCAAAACAATACCTCCAAAGTGCTCGACGACAATAAATTCGGGGTAAGTGCTGTAATGAATTTTTCCCTTTTGTTGACCTTTAAGTGTATTCAGAAAGCCTCTTCCTTCTTCATCTCAGGCAGGAACGTGTTAAGATGAAAATGTACATTGTATTAATTTTCAAAGAGGTCACAATACAGTTTTTTTTATTTTAAATTAAAACAGTTTTTTTATTGTTAAGCAATGAGGACAATGGGACTTTCATCTGAACTGTTTCTGTAACTTCTTCAGTCAAGGTCGAGGTGCCTTTTCTCATTGATTTGATTGATTTGATTTATTGATTTAACAGGAAAAGATTACTAAAAATCAAGCCTGACTCAGCATAATTGCTGTGTTACAGCAGGTTCCTGTTCTGCAGCACATAAAACACTCAGAAATACAGCATCACAATCACATCATTATACTCCATAGACACAAAGACAAACAAGCATACCAAA